AAAAGTGGTTGCCAGGGGCTTAGAGAGGTGGGGGAAATAGGTAAAAAGTTGGTGAAAGGGTGCAAACTTTCAGCAATAAGATGAATAATGTCTGAGAACCTCATGTAAAACATAGTGACAATAGTTTATAGTTGATGAGACTGTATTTTATAATTGAAATTTGCTAAGAAAGTAGAACTTAAATGTTCTCACTAATAAAAAAAGATAAAAATGTTAGGTGATGGGTGTGCTAATTAACCAAATGGGGGAATCCTTTCACAATATATGCATATATCAGATCACCACAATGTACACTTAAAATATCTTACGATTTTGTCAATTATACTTCAACAAAGCTGAAATTTAAAAAAGAAGGCACAAATAAATAATATTTAAATAAAAAAGATAGATACTACAGATACATAGAATAGTTTTAAACTCATAGTGTGTGGTAAATTTATGCCAATATATACTTTTAATTAACATGAAAATTTTCCTAGAAAAATCTAAATTGCCAAAATTAACTCAAGAAAAGGAAGAAAACGTAAAGAAAACAGTTCCATTAGATAATCTGAATTGGTAGTAAAAAATATCTGTCTTAAACACTCACACGGACACGTGCACACATGCATATACACAAAAATACACGGGAAGAAAAAAAGGCTTCAGGCCTTTTATCGGCAAGTTTTACCAACTTTAAAGGATCAGGCAATTCTTATTTTATACTTTTTCATAGAAAGAGAAAAAAAGGAAAGCTTAGCAACTGATTTTATGAAACTACTATAACTTTGATACCAAAACTAGATGAGGACAGTGCAAGGAAAAATATATACAGATCAATCTCATAAACAAACATTTTAAATAAAAGTTAGCAGTATTTTTATACATTCATCATGATCAAGGAAGAATGTAAGGAAGATTCAATATTAGAAAAATTTAACAACGTAATTCACCATATTAACACATTAAAAAAGAAAAACCCTATGATCATCTCAATATATGCCAAAATGAAAAAAAAAATCATTCAATACAATTCAACATTAATGATAAGGGAAAAAAAACCTCTGAGCAGAGTAGAAGTAGAATTTTCTGAACTTGATCATTGTTTGCAAATGTCACCCCAGAACAAACACTATTCTTAGTAGAGAAACTTTAGAAGCATTCTATTTCTCCATTAAAAGCAGAGACAGTTCAAGGGAGACCGCTACTGCCACCGCTACTGAACACTGTCCTTGAGGCCTTAGCACAAGCAATAAGAACAAAGATGGATGGAGGGAGGGGTATTAGTTAGGAATGCATGTGACTGCAAATATCAGCAACCCTATCTACCAGTGGCTTAAACAGTGAGGTGCATTTGTCTCATACACAGGCCATCAGGAAGTAGGCAGTCAGGGTTAGCGCTGCTGATCAACAGGGTTGTAACGGCTCTCTTTCTGCTTTACATTCTTTAGCCTGTTTGATTTCATCTTCATGCACGCCCTCTTGGCTCTAAGATGTCTCCTGCAGATCTGGGCCTTAATGTACACATTCCAGGCAGGAAGAGGGGGAAATAGTGGTGCCAGTCTCTTCCCAGAAGCCCCTGGACGGACTTCTGCTCACTACTCACTGGTCACGTGGCCACTGCTAGCTACAAGAAAGGCTGGAAAAGTGAATGTCCAGGGATAGGGTTAGGGTTAGGATTTGGGACATATTTGTACTGTATACCTATTATGGTAAGTTATGCTTGGTCTAAGCCTTTCATGAAAACTGTTTTTGATGGGTATTAAATGTATTTAATATTCAGGGCATACTTATACTAAAATGTTACTTGTGTTTATTTAAAATGAAAACTTAACTATGTGTCCTTTAAATTTTGTTTTTTCTAAACCTGGCAACACTAGGAGCTGGGCATGTTGTTACCCTGAAAAAGCTGAGCTTCTAAAATTATCGAGGAAGAAAGGGGGATGGCTCCTTGCCAGGCACATAGCAACAACTGCCACAGAAGCACACACGCTTGTCCACAAAGACAAGTTTTTACCCCCTGACATTAACTCTGGCAAAATTTATCATACAGATTTTTCCAGAAGGGAAATTGAGTTGCAAAACTGACAGTGCCTTAGGATACAGTTTTGTTGAAGATGCAGACACATTCTTCAAACACATGTGTCTCATAAAATCCAAGGCTACATGAAGTTATAATTTAGTGATAGAATTTCCACAGGTAACTAAGAAAAACATAAAAAAATGTTTTTAAGAGATACCATTAACTGTGCACTATCCATGTGAAATTACAAATCTTTGATATCTTTTTTCTTTTAAGATTTTTATTGGGGGATTGGGGGATGGGAACAGCGCTGGGGAATTGGGGAAGGGGGAACAGACAAGTTGCTGTCCTTTTGTTCTTCAGTTTTGTTGTGGAGGACGTTGCTTCACTGGCCCAAGTTGGCACCATCATTGCACGCTTCCCGGGTGAGGCAGATCAGTCGCCAGCTTCTGGACGGCCGCTCACAGCGGCTGCTGGCCGCTCACGCTGGCTGCTGGCTACATACGGTAGCCCATGGCAACCCACTGCAGCAGGGGCTGCAGCCTACGCCGTCGCCAGTGACTTATGGCAGCCCAGCTCCAGGTTGAGCTGTTGTTCACCATCTTAGTTGTAGAGGGCAGTGTCACTGGCCCTCATATGTGGGATCCGAACCGGGGCCCTCTGACATCCCAAGCCAGTTCTTAACCAACGTGCCACTCGGCCGGCCCAAATCTTTGAGATCTTTATACTACCAAATTTCATTAAAATTTTACTAAAATCCTTTTAAAATTATGCCTACTTGAAAACTTGTCAGCCGCTATTTTTGTTTCAACATGGGAATTGAACCATAAATCTCACTTGGCTGAGGGAATCTGAAAATTAAAAAGTGTACTGAGCCTGCAGATACCAGAATAACAGGCTTTATTGGTGAATCTGTGGATTCAGAGCCACCTGGGAACAGGGTGCGGACTGGCCTTTAGAGTGGGAGAGCCAAGAGTGGGAGAGCCAAGCCCAAGTGGACCACAGAGCAGAAAGCACAGGGGTCAAAGCAAAGTCTTATAGGCTAGAAAATGGAGTCTTCATACAGTATTGCCAACTCCCCAGGCTCAGAGGAAGTGGTGGGCAGTCTAATAGGCAGGGAGGCTTGCTGGAAGCCAGGGAAAACAGAAAAACGGTAAGTTGGTCAAATGCAACAAACAAATCCCCTTTTGGAGGTGATTTGTAGTGATAAGACTCAGGAATTCCTGCTGCTTTTTAAGAGATGGATGAAGATATTCCTTACCAGCCCAGGTGAGGCAACGTGAGAGAACTGAGCCCTTAAGGTAGGATTCTAAACTGTATTCCGATGTGCTGTATTTGATCAACACCTGTCAATTCTAAGATTATTGCTATAGAACTGACAGAAAAGGGGTGGACTAAGGAAATGAGTTGAAAGAAGCCTCACTTCTTTGACTCAGTTACTATTTAAATAAATTATTTGTTCTCTTTCTTGGAAAGATTAGGGTAAAGATTCCTCTCTCCTGAGAATGTCAGACTTGGGCTGCTTGTGAAGGGCAGTTGGGTTTGCTTCCAGGCAACAGAAGGGCTGCCATTTCTCTCCCAAGAATTGTCTATGCGTAGGCCTACATGCTATACATGGACTAGATGCGTTCCCCAACACTTGTTGCTTAGAGATTTAATTAATTTCAAAAATAATATTTATTGCATTTTTCATGTGCATTATTTCTCCAAGCCATTTAAATTCCATAGAATCATCTTTTTAAATGACTACACAATAGACTAGTCCATCATATGTAGTTATATAAATTTACCTTTTAAATGAACTTAGGAATATGTCTATTTAAAGAAATCTTACAGTGAAACATTTTATAAGGCAAATAGTCCTCTCTAATTTGCCTGTTTTTAAAATTTTTCTTTTCATGTAGGCAGTTTGCAGGAGGCAAGCTAGCCTTATATTCTGACGGAACTGTTGTGCTCCCAAGCTTTTTGCTTTCCTTCTAAAGTCATTGATCACAAATGTTTCATTGAAATGATACAGGAAAGACTTGTAGTGAACAGTCAATGGGTGACAGAGCTATATGACTTTCAAGGCGCAAAGCACTAACCCAATGACTCACCCTCTCTTCCTGGAAGAGGTAACTTTGCACTACCTTCCATCCACAGCCCCTTTGGCTACAACTCAGAAACGACAGTCTGTTCCAGAAGAAGTGACGATCTCACTCAGGAGACAAAAATCAAAGGTATTCATATTTCTAGCTAATGGGAAAAAATTGTTCCTATTTATAATGTTCTCAGTGAGATTTTTTTTTGCTAATACACACATGTTATAGAGTTGTACCTTTCATATAGAAATAAATACTATTTCAGCTGTTGCTAGAAAGTATTTGATTTTACAAGGGGGGATTGTTATGCAAGTAATCTCTACTATGACATTGTCAGTGGGGTCTAAAAAAAATCAATCATATCAAATTATTGTGAGATTAACTAAATGATTGAGTCAACCTCTACCAGCTGCTGAAGAGTCCAGGAGTCCAGAATACAATAGCTATTGCTTTATATTCAAATTTGTGTTGCATAGGGTATGTTATTGTGAGGTTTTGCTGTATTTCATTTGTTATTAAGCATAAGATAAAAAAGCAAGCTCTCTGATTTTTGCACAGATTCCTTAATGAGAAAGGGGAAGGAATTTTGTATCCTCTAATTAAGACCTCCCAGTACAACATATTCATCCTCATGGAGGTTCTCCTGGTTTATAGGTGCTGGACTTCTGTAGCTTGCTTTCGTATGTTTATGAGCCACAGGCAGACTTGTGATAATTGAAACTTTTCACCATAGAAAGGAGACAGCTGGCAGTGTCTTTTTCTGGGCTTACCCTATGTGGTCATGTGTACAGCTGCTCTCATTAAAACACACACACATACACACACACACACACACACACACACACACACAAGAAAGAGAAATTGAAGAGTGACATGGAAGAAATTAATCCTACTGTGTCTACATAGTAGACTGTTACCTGTTCTTCCCAGACCTTCATCTTTTAACTCCCCAATCTTCCTCAAAATGTTTTCACTGTATTTGCAGCACTGCCGGCTGTTTTCCTCTGCAGATTTTCCAAGCTGTTTATGTAGCAGCGTGTCACGTGACACCCCAGTTGCCATGGCAAATATTTGTGTTTCATGAAAAATGTGGGTTTAAAAAAAAAAATCAATGTAAATGGCCAAATCCCAAGACAGACAAGCCTTGAGGCTAGCGTTTGGCCTGCACCATTATTGTTTCAAACTCAGCTGTTTAACAGGCTGTGCGAAGGCCATGGGCTAATGTGCATAATGGGAACAGGCAGGGGCACCTGTTTCAATTCCCACCGTGCTGGAGCTCTTAGATCCCACAGTTTTACAGATAACAGATCTACAGGTAATACAAAGGTGACTAGGTTTTAAGCAGTAAGCTTAAAAAAATTTTTTTGAAACAAGGACATTTTCTGAGTGCTAATTAACCCTACCTTTAATTTCCTCTCTATTGACTTCACAAAGCTTTTTCCCTACTGCTAGAAGCAGTCATATTTAAAGACCCTTTTCCTGTGGTCTGGAATTGGCACGTTTCTGAATGGACTCTTCAATAGTAAACATAATTATTCATATACCCTGTGAAAAGTGTCCTAGCATGGAAGTGAAAGGCTGAGAGAAGGACTGTGACATACTTGGCTTCATGATAGAGCCAGAAGAGACCATGGATCAGTTCCCAGCACTGGGCAGTGTGGTGTCACACAGAGAAGCCCTTTCTTGTAAATATTTCTCTGGGGGTCCCTTAGAAGTGGGACTTGGCACCTGATTACAGTTGTTTAGGTAAATATTGACTTTGTCAAACTCTTGCTTCAAAGCAAGCAGTGCCCTTGGCAAGCAGAGCATCATTGTGTGGGGTGGGAAAGGCCTTTCTAATTATTACTCCTGCCTGTATGGAAATAGGGAACAGGCCGGCCCAGCAGGGGAGGCTGGGGATGTGTGGGGCAAGGGGCTGAGGAGAGCCTGGGCCTTTTAAGGTTTTGTAAAACTGCCCATGAGAACCATTTTTGATTTAAACTGTGTCTCCTTCTCCATTGTAGGGGAAAGGCAAAAGGTCAAGAGGACATCGTGATAGAAAGGTCTGTAATTTGTGTGACTAGTTGAAATTTGGGGTCTGTCACCTGATGTCCCTTCCTTTTGCTGCAGGGCAAAAGCATGGGAGGCAAGTTTGACAGCTGGAAATGGCAACAAAAGTTCTTTCGCTCTTCTTTTATAAAAGAAATTACATCATGTTTTCAGGAAAAAAAAGCATGGTTCATTTAAAGTGGAAAAACTTTTTTTTCCCCCCTCGGTTGGGACTGAATTAATTCTCAAGCTTCAGTCCAAACGAGTGATTTTGCATACTCAAAATTTGGCTGAGCCACATCAACCTCAATCTAAGATTTTCATCTTTTAAAAGTACACTTCAAATGAAATAAAATGTTAGAACAAATCCAGTTGTCCCCCGGCAGATATGATATAATAGGTAAGGGTTTGAGCTTTAGAGCTAAGCTAAGACAAATAAGATAGCAAAAAAGTTGGGAAAATGAAATAATTCTCATAATACAGCAAGTACATGCCAGCCAGGAACACTCCATGGGGCCATGCATGGGGTAATAAAAGTTCTGAACTTGAAGCAGGAGAAAGCTAAATTCTCCTCTTACCTAATAGAGGAACTTGGAGCAAGTTACTTAGATTCTCTGTGCCTCCCTTTTCTCCCCTGACACATGGGAACAACTCCTCTTTTCTCACAGGGTGACTATGAGGGTTAGAGGAGTTAATGTCACATGTGAAAGTGCTTTGAAGCTATGAAGCACTTGTTATCAAATTCATCATTTTATTTTTAAGAGCATCTTCTAGGCCTCCCTTTCTCGGTGATCTTACCAGTAAGAATTTCAGAGGGAGCTTAGTCACCTCTTTTAAAGGAAAAAGAAGCCCCCCTTTTGGGTCTCCTTAAACTCCTGAAGAGCTGTGACTAAAACAATGCTGTATTTACCGCAGTGATCGCATACAGTCTTGAGCCCAGACAAATCGCTCCTAGGTAAGCTAATCAATGCCGTTAGATCCTTCCTCTCGCTTCCCTTGATTTCTTGCTGTAAGGAAATGGTGAGCTTGCTCCTGCATTTTAACAATAGGATGGCTTTAGGAATACTAGTGCATTATTTATCTGGAATATTTATAACAGCTAATGTTGAATGAACATTTTCTTAGAGCATGGCACTAGGCACCTTCCAATACCCACTGAATGCTCACAGCAGCCCGCAAACCTCTGTGCTGTCCTTGTCCCCAAGCCCACACAGCTGGTAAAGGGCTGTGAAGGATGGCAGTTTGTACCCTGTCCACATCCTGGGTGATGAACTCTTTCCACACAGTTAAGGCACTGTTCTAACGTTTTACATGGACTATCTCATTTTTATAACATCTCTGCAGTAGGTACTATTATCATTCCCATTTCACTGGAAGGACCTGGATATAGAGAGGTGAAGGTCATCCAATCAATAAGTGATAGAGCCAGAGTACAGAACTGCACTATGTGACTGCCAGAACACCAAAGCATTAGAAAAAAATTTTTAATTTCAATCATTTTTTATGGGATTCTTTCTAAAAGATATTATGTGTCTGCCTTCCTAAGGTAATTTAACATTTTCTGTATCCAGTATTATGTATGCATATAACCAGTTTCTGGTGTCTTTTTTGTTTGTTTGTTTCCTTAGATTTCAGGACAGCCGTTGTCACCTCTGCTATCATATCTGCTTTTTCTGGCTCTAACTTTAACAGCCTTTCCTGTCTGCTAGATCAATTGACCAAATAATCAAAACCCAAGAAGTTGAATGATACATTTGAGTCAGTCAGGCTCCGCACAAGGATCCAAGGAATAAAATAATAAACTGTAGTAGAGTTTGTAGTAATTTCAAGATATCCAAGAATCTAATTTAAAAGTTTGAAGTTGTGCAAATTGCCTCTCTCAGCAAATATATCATTTAATTATCTCAAGGCAGGCATGTCAACAACTATGTTAAGATCCATGTAATTTTAATAGTTTGATAATAAAAATATATCTTATGAGTAAAACAAGCAAACAAACAAATATATTTATTGGACATAAGGGTCCAGGTTAAATTCATGAGTGTGTTTGCTTCTCAAAGAAGCTTCTCAAAGAAGACAAAAGGTTAACATGTGTTCATGGCAGTTTTTTATATTGACCTCTATACTTTTCTGTATTTTCAAGACTTTTTTCCAAATAAAAGAAGAAAAAAATAAAAGATAATCCTATTTCCTAAGCCGTACCTCTGTTGTAAAATTTCCTTTGCTATAGAAAGAATAGGTTTGGATGATTATATTTAAAGGTCATATTGAGGGTCTTGCTTCTCTTAGTCATTTTGTTATATTGTTACTTTCTTTAGTATTTTTCCAATGTATACTCTTAATCTTCTTGTTTAAAAACTGTTATAATTGTATAGGTTAGTCAACTGAGCTATTTTAATCAAGCAACATGTGTGACATTGAATTTACCACTGCTCCTATCTAGTCTCATTTCCCCCCATCTGTATAAGGAGGCCATGAGGCCAGAGCAGTGGTTTTAAGGAGCTTCCACATCGCCTTCAAGCCACACTCAACTCCCTCAGGGTTAGGAGAGAGGCAGACGTTCCCAACAGCTGGGGCTCTAGGCCCCTCACACCCACAGCTGCTGTGTTAACTGTTTCACCTCTTTACCATCAAATTATATTGTTTTTGAACCAAGTGTTCCAGACTTAAAAACATGTACCTTGAAAAGCACCAGGTGATGTCTAGCAGCAGTTTGGGCTCCAACATGGCATACGTATATAGTGGAGGAATAAGCATGCCTCGTGAAGAGTACAGAGTGCCTCCCTGGTTAGCTGTGCTTCCAGCACAATCCAGTCTCCTTTCTTGTCTTGCCTACAGAGCTCAAGAGAGTGAGGTCACACTTTGACAAGAATTAGAGCTCTGCAACCTGGAGATACAAGATGAGATTCAAAAGCAAGTCCAATGCCATTTTTCTCTCTTTTAGACTCACTTTCCCTCATGAAACCTCCCTTAATTTATCATCTTAAAGTAATAGAAAAAAAATCTGAAAACAAGAAAAACCATGGAATCTCTTAAAACCATTTTTCATTTCATAAATTTTCAATTTATTAGAAATTTCCACCCTCACCTATGCATTTTTGACATGAAACCTTTGAATTAAAATCATATACCGTAGTTTTATTTGCAAAACATTTTTTTCTTGCACAAAGTAATTGACAAGAAAAAATCTTATAAAATTGTTTTTGCTTCCCTTCATAACATCATCTAACTGTACATTTTTGTTGCATGTGATTAACAATTTTACTTATATATACCAGAAACAAAGGTTAAATTATCAGTAAGCCACAAAATAAGATCTTTACATTTTTAATTTATATCTTTCATCTATCAAATTATGACTTAATCATTTATCAAACACTTGGAAAGTTCAGAAATGAGGGGAAAATGTCAAAGTATGAAAGAAATAATTTTTTCCATAATACCACAACTCTTAGGGCATTATTGAAGCTTTGGTGTATCCCTTGGTCGGTATCATACTCTTTTCACCTAACAATTTATCATAAGCCTTTATATATATGATTTAAAATTCTAATAAAACATTTAATGACTGTAATATTCTGTCTTAAACATATAACATAGGCTTCTTAGCCATTATCCCATTGCTTGACATTAAATTATAAATGTCAAGCTATTATTAGTAGTAGTAATGAAATCATTGCCAGTTTTTCTTTGTTGTAAATAAAACTACCATGAGCATCTTTCATGTTTGTACGTAAATCTTTGTATTTAGGCCAAATCTTAGTGGTAGAACTCCTTGGTCAAAGGCTATGGACATTTTCAGATCCAAGCAGCCACACTTTCCATTAATGCTCCAAAACTCAAGCTGTGAGTTTGCAAATTTGTGAGTTGTATGATCCTAGAACAGCTTTGTGCTGTAAACCCAGTGCAAAGTGGCTATGAGCATAAATTTTACTATTCGTTCATTGACTCATTCA